ACGATAACAATAATTTTATAACCTATTTGAAGCTGACTCATAGACTTGGTGACTCATTGGAATTCTTTCAAAAGTTGCTATAAAACTTAAGAATGCAAACTTAGCGATGGTGTTTGATTGACATGAATGAAATTTAAATTTTTTAAACGTAACGATTTCCAACTTCGAACTTTTTTTTTGTTTTATATATATATATAATGCAAATAAAGTGAATTAGTGTTTGTTAGATTATTTTTATTTTATTAAATAAACTGTTTCTGTATTTTTGAATCCAAATTTGTTTTTAGAACAGTTAATTATTATTATTATAGGAAAATCTAATTAAAAGTTTAGTAATACACAAATGCGAAGCTTGAATAAATACGTATTAGATGCTTTATTATTAAAAACGTTAAAGAAACAATACTGTCAGATAGACTTATAGAAGACATTTTTCAGAATTCTTAAATTTAAATAAATTTGAATTATTTTTCCTTTGTAAGCTATAAATAAATAATTATTTTTCTTTTTGTTATATATATATAAAAGTAAAAATACAAGTAAAATCATTTTCATTGTGCTTTTCTTAAGATTTTACGTGAAATTTTTTTTCCTTCTCCTCCTTATTCTGTACGATAGTTATGATTCATTATCCATGTTCATGTATATTTTAAAGTGACCCAATTAATATGATTGTATCTCTCTTTTTCTGGTAATAAATAAATGCGCCTAGATAAAAAGATTGAATTCTCAACAATAAACTAGGTAAATAATAATCTTAATCCATTATTTGGTTTCTTTTATACGGTGGAAAAAGTTTTTCCTTAAGATATGTTTGATTTTTAACTTTTTAGAATAAACTAAGACAATGGAATATTTAATTCACTGAAAAAATTATCCGGTTTTGTAAGAAGTCAAATATCGAACGTCATTATATATTCAGCTGTTCAAAGTTGTTTGCAGATCGGAGACAATCAAAATAAGTTATTGTGAAATAATAGAAGCTGAATTTAGTTAATTGAAATGTGTTCTGCAATATTTAACTGTGTAAATAACATATACGTATAGAAATTTTTAGTTAATCAAGGTGATATTATTTTGTTAAAAATTAAATTTTAATGGTGATGAAAAAAATTAATGATCATTCGAGTTGATTTTTTAATAACAAGTGGTTTTAGAAAAAAAAAATTTTTTAAATTTCTACTCTATACTGTATATATATAATTTATTTTATCCATAATATAATTGTCGTGTTTAGAAACTTAAATCTTAGAGTGAAGCCATATCAAATAAAAATTTTTAGCCTTGGCGAGCATAAAACATTATCCTAGAGGAGCAGATGCGATTTCTGTCACCAGCTGTACAATGAATGTTTGTTGTGTTGTAACGAACGCTGTTTAAAAGTGGACATTTGTTTGTTATATTTTTATTGCTATTAATTATCATTGAATTCAGAAAAGCATTTTTATTCTGGTTTCGTTAAGTATCATTTGATATAAGACAGGTAAGACTTATCAAAGATTTAGGCTAAATATATATAAATATTTTACATACATAAACAATACATAGTAATAGTATAATTATTACTTCATAATAATTATTTTAAAACGTAATTATTTTTTTAATATTATTTATTAAATGAACAACCTCTATCCCATCTTGACATCTAAAGAGGAGTCACAAAAAAATGTATGCATATTTTGAGTCCGTAATTTAGTAACATCTTTTCTTTTTCAGGTAAAAATTAGCCTTAAATGTGTATAATCTAATTTTGATTTTTGATATTCACTCTAGATTATAAAATTATTAAATTAAAATTTAGGAAATAAACAGAAATTATTAACAATCAGTGTGTTGTATTTCTTTGTGACACTGCATACAGTTTTCTGTTCATGTATTGATAGTATTTTATAGTGTTTCATTTATAATGTACGATTGTTCTGGGAATATAAATATACTGTAACTTTTAGGTCTGTTTTTTTTTTCTTTTCTTTCGGCAGATGAATGTAGATCATGGCCGGAAATGGAAGAAAACTAATTCAAAAATCATCTAAATTTGTTAAATAGGACTGAATTTATAACACCCCCTTAGTACCTCTGTGTGAGTGGTCCTGAGTTGTTTTATTTTCTGATAAATCACATAGTTGTATACTATGCAGGAGGTCTTATATATCACCACCATACTAAAAGATGAATTTATTTAAATTTTATTTAGCTTATGTTTGTTTATTATACGATTCCTTTACAGTATTTTTTACGATTTACTTCAATTTTAAAATGTTAATAGATTCTCCATTAGAATAATTTATTTTCAATATTTATTTTAATATAAAATAATAATTATAGGTAATATTGACGTGTTTGATAGTTTTGGTCATTGATGCTTGTATGTATTTCTAAACAAAGGAATCGTAAATAAACATTAAGAATACATATATTAAGCATTGATTTTCAACATGATTTATAGTGTAATTATATAAAAACATATCCGTTATATACAGTATATATTGTCAATTTTGTGTGAAAACTCAATAACACGAGCAAATTGAAATCTTTTTCATATTTTAATATGGAAAGGATTTCACTATATTTGGCTTTACTCTAAGATGTAATGGTTTATTTTTAAGCTTAGAAATGAACTTTTGACTTTTAAACAAATAACCGAAATTCTCTTAAATGAAGTCATTTCATGTTTTCCTTTGATAGGTTTGTGAACTATCAAATACGATCCGTAACGACTATCTGGAGCAAATCTTGTCAGACTCAAAAATAGATTGAAGGTCAAATTTTAAATTTTACTGCTCAATTTGTTTTCATAAATCAATTAGGAAAAGAGTTTCTTGATACCGTTATATCCTTCAAACAAGAATTCAATTTTTTACAATTAGGCTTATAGCCTACACTAAAAGAATAGAATATTCGACGAACAAATATAAGTATTGCTGATATCTTTATGTTTACGTTATTAATAAATTCAGTAAAGTTTACTTTTAAAAAAAGTTTGTTTTTTCATTATATTAAATAAGTTATGAATAACAGATTTTTGTGTTTAATTTCGTGTTATTTAATTCAATGAATCAACTGTGTTTAATATATTCAGTGGAGTTTTTAAATTTTAACTGGAATATAATTTGATATTAAAAATTTGTTTCTTGCGAATAAATAAGTTTAAAATATATTAATTGGTATAATTCAATTCTAAAGTAAAATTATTATTTAAAAAAAACTACTAATAGAGAGATTCACAGAAAAGATCAAATGGTTCCAAATTTACCATTCTTTTTATATCAATGATTAGAACAATTATAAAATTAAAAAATATTATGTTAATTACTTTGCTTAAATACTCAATATAAATTACAGAAAAAGGCTATTTTTCGTTGTTACGTGCATTTTCGATTTTAGGAACAAAATATCAGTCTGAAAACTTTAATACTTGAAGATGCCAATTTACAGTGACAATAATTTTATCTTCTAAACTGCAAGTGACAATTTTTCCTTTTTATTTGCATTTATAGTAAATATGAAGTCAATTTCCACGTTGCTTCCAGTTTAAATTAGGCAATTCCGTATTCTTTAAATTTCAGATCGAGACACTCAAAATTTGATCTCATTAGAAACTTTAAAGTGGTTTGAATCCAACTTAAAATATATCGAAATGATAAAATTTCGTCTTTAAATATTTGAAATTTAATTAATCTATTCGTGTATAATATAAATTCGTTTACCAATGCTCCATCATATTATATATATAACTTTGAGTCGTGTTCGTCATCGATTAACATCTTTAAATATATCCAATAAAATTGAAGAATATAGAACGATATGTACGATAAAACTGTGTAACAAATTAATTGTATATCATAACAAATGTTTGATAAAATTTTTAACACACTAATAAATAGATTTCGTATTTTTGGCTTATCTTTTTAACAGATTGAGATAAAATCGGTATAAAAACTCTGAATGACATCTCTTAAATGAAAATCGAAATTTCACTGTTCTGTAATCGTTCTGAAACATTGAATTGTGGAATGTAGAAACAGTTCTTTTGCTTCGTGAACTTCGACCGACAGATGTTTAATTAAAATTGTAATAAATGTTTTATTGATGAATTGTTGTCCACAATGGACTAGTCCTTTTGTGTGTAATGATATGAAAAATTGTTGCGTTCAATATTTCGGTCGTTTTGATTGGCAAAAATGTTTTTAAAAAGTTTCACGCCCTACCGTTTATCAAAAAATTGACCTTCATTCCGGCCATCGGCTCTAAGCATCCACATAAAACACTTTGCTTTACATTTCCCTTTTGTATTGAAACAATAACTTATTTTGCCCTTCGCTGCACTTTAAAATTATATTTATTTTCCCACAGGAATAACTTCGGGAAAAAATTGGTCATAAATTTTACTTCGGTCTGAATTTGATATTTTTAGTGACTATCAGAAGTACGTTTTTGAGCAGGTGTAAAAAATCGAGAGACCAGACAATAAAGATGGGCCTCCTACATATATTTCTATGGAGTGGGCGGATATTTCGTATCTCCTTTGTAAGTTTCATCGAGGGAGGGCTTTTTTTTCTTTTTTGGTACGTCTCTATGACTACCCCATTGACAGCGTTCGGTTCCTGGAGGTCTGTAAACTCCCCTATTGAGTCAGGATGTTGTTTCTTTAAAACTGTTTTTTGTTTTGTTTTGTTTTTTGACGTGCAGCCTTGGTGATTAAATACTCATTGCTTAGATTTATTATGTATCTTCATAAATTTTTATTTAATAAAGTATGCATTGTACCGTATGAAATGTTCGCAATAAAAATAAATAAGCATTGTGAATTTTATCATATCAATCATATATATAACGTCTTATAACTATTATTATAGCATTAATACGTAAAAAAACACGTAACAGCTTAAATCATGTTCTGCATTAGTCTCAACTTTACGATAGACTTATATTTTCCAGGGGTTTTATTCAGTCGCAGTGGAACTGTGAAATATTTAGAAGTAATAACTTTTTTCGGTTAGGAGGTAACTCTTTTAAGACAACGAATTGAGATACATGAAACTAGAAAAATGCGTTCAGGTGAACGAACGTATCCGTTCCGGACGATGGATCCTTCGGTCATTATCTACTTGGTGCAAATCATTCGGGTGAGAAGTGTTGTTTATCCCACACGTTAAATTTTACAATCTGCTTCGCATATGCCTATTTAACGAATGCGCAGTTTTATAACTCCGATTTTTATTTTTCTTAGTAGTTCTCGTACAGAGTAGACAATACGGTAAGCAACTCTGTATGAACGAAATTCTGTGAATATTGAAGTATTTAGAACAGTTTCATTAACGGAAATAGTGTTCAAAATTTAGATTATATCCTTATAATATATGTATGTGTGTAGAGAGTTATATGAATAGTCTAAATTCAATGAAATGCTTTGTGGCAACTAAAATATTAAAATATCGATTGTTCTCATTTCGATCGCGGTTTTTCCTAGTAACACGCTGTTTTATTTAATAGTGTATTGTGAATAGTAATAGCCAGAACCAAGTTTATGGCCATATTTCATTTTCCTACATAAAACTTTTCAAATAAAAAATTACATTTTCACCGCAGTTAATTAGTAAATATCAATAAAATCGGCAGATAACTTGGACACATGATTAAACGTCGAACTTTCCAATTGAGAATATTATTTTACGTTTAAATTCGTAAATTTAGGGTAAACTCGTTTCAAATAATAAAAGGGAAATGTAATTATTTAAGTAGGTTTATTCCACACTTTAATTATATGCTATTTTAAAAAGGTAGTAGTAGTATGTATAATATACATAATTTTCCAGATGGTACGACTGCTTTCCTGTCATCCATATATGGCGGCAGTTTGTATCGTAAATTATTTTTTAATTATATTAGAAATACAAAATCATATATTTTTTTAGTCATTTTAACAACTTTAATATAAATAAAAACTTGTTTCATCGAAAATTTTAGCGTTGTCTATCATACACTTTTATCCTCCGATGATTAATGTTGACAATGCATCGCTTATCAATTATTCGATGTTCAAAATATAAACTGGATGAGGTAATACGCGTATATTATTATAATTACATAGTAAATGATTAAGCTTTGTTATAATAGAGCTTCCACATGGCCGAAATTATATTTTCACGAACATATTATTAAATTTTAATCGTTTTCGTTCGTTCCGTTCGATTGCAATTAGTAATAGAGTGAATTATTGTTACTTTTTTCTTCTATAATTATAGGTGATTACATCAGTTATTTAGTTATATTTCTTTGTTAATATCGTAATTATAAATTATTTTAAAAACTAATCTGCATTCATATTATCGCGTCGTAAACACGTGCTAAAACTGGTCATGAAACTAAAATCATGACGAAGTTAAGGTCAAGTTTCTTTGAAGAGAACAATGTTATCAACGATCTTTATTTGCCATATAATTATAATTTTTATTTTTGGGTAGGCACTGCAAAAGAAAATCGAATCGAGAGGAAAATACGTATCTGCTCTATTGAAATCTTGCGATCGCCTTGTAAGTTGTCGTGTGGATGACACAGGGCCCCCTCTGAGTTGGGATGCTCATCACATTAGAAAAGTTGCTTCCAACTTGGAAAAGAGATGGCATGCTTTGTGGCTAAAATCCCTGGAAAGACAATGCTTGCTTGAGGAATTTCTTAAAAAATATAGATCTGTGAGTATATTTTCTGTTTGTATTTACTTTATTTTAGTAATATGATGATGATAATATGTATTAGTTTTAGTTTTTTAACTGATTATGTTAAGTATATTATTAATTTTTTTTGTTTATTTCTCTGAGAAGTCAAAAATAGTGTGCTTTATTTCTAAGTAAAATTAATATTTACTTTGTAGTTTTTCATCTTTTTTTATTTGATGTAAACTGAATGATAGTTTAATACTTTTTTTTAAAAAACTTTAATTTATTAATTTTCAATTATGTTAGTTTTTGATGTGTTTCATATATATAAAATTTTAAATAATATCTTAAATTTTATTATATTCTCTCTTAAAATATTAATATAATTTTTAATTTTATGAATAAATTAAATAAAAAAAGAAACTATTGTTCAGTAAGTTACTATGAAAAATATTTGTTAATCTTACTGTTTTTTTTTTTCATAAAGATATGTAAATTTTTTTGCATAATTATTTTTAATTATATGTAAATTAAATGCAGTAATTGAATAAAATAAAAATTTCTTTATTATATAATAGATACATTTACCTAATTTGAATAGGATATATGATTGCTTTTACTGTATTTTCTTTGCTCAAATCAAATTTTAATTTTTTTACTTAAAGTAGTTATTTTAAGAAATCCATATTGGCATAAGAAAAAAGCAAATGTTAATTTTAAAATGATTTAAAAATTTGAAAAAAATAAAGTTAATAATATAAATTTTAATCTACATCTTTATAAATATATATTTATTAATAATCATTTCAAAATAGCAATAGAGACTTAAATATTTTAACATGATATGAAATATATTGTGTTAGATAAGTTTCTTGACCTGCTTGCACCTGGAGTGCATTTTTGCCTTAGGCTGTTGAGTCAATTTAATGATCACATTAGTGAGGTAAATTTGTAAGAGTTCAGATGTTGCCTATCCCTTGAGGGTTTGGAACAAAGCCAGTCATGAAAAGCCAATTTCTCCTTTTGAGCATAATGTAATATATAGTCATGATGGATAGTATCAAAATTTCAGCTTAAAATGTTAATTGAGTAGAAGTCAAATTATCTATTTAAAAAATGATTATGTAACATTTATTGACATAGTTAAGTTGTATGTAAATAAAAAAAAAGTAGGAAATGTTTTTAATAGTCATGATTGGTCATGTTTGTTTAAAAATAAATATGACTGTTCAAATGATATTTCTGTAGATAAATATCTTTATTGCATTTTGTTGAAATTTTATAAATTATCATTATTATGCCTGTTGCATATATCACTTTCAATTATATCATTAAAATTTAAAAAATGCACACACAAATACATATCTATATTATTTATTTTTGAAACTAAAAGAAAATTATGATTTTGGCATATTTTGGTAAGCGTATCCTAAATAATACATTATTTATATAGTTTGTCTAGAAAAATGAAATTCCTTTTATATAAATGTTATTTGTATATACAAAAATTTTAAGTTCCTGAAACTTATTTTTTAAAATAGTTTTTATCCTTTTTTTTTAAATTCATATAATTCCTCATGTAGAAATGATACCAGTTATGCTCCATTCCATTCTTATTATGCCTTTAGCTATACAAAGAATAAATTATCTCATCAAGAAATAAGATTTTTCACTGTAAATGATAGAAATCAGTGGAATTTTTTTAAATATCAGATATGAGTATTATACTAGTATTTAACATTTAAATCATTTATATAAATCAAAATAGCAATTACTGTGAATGTGAATGTAAAAATATTGATCTATTTGTTTTCTATATAATAGATTGATTTATAATTTTAAGCATTTTCATTATTTTTGAAAGCTTTTAAAATTTTAAAATACTTAATGAGAAAAATAGCTTAATTCATGTAATTTTATAAACACTGTTTCATTAAAGTTTAGTTTCTTAATTCTTTTAAAACATGATTGTTTATCTCCAATATTTTACTTGAAACTCTTTTATCTTTTATCTTAAAGTTTTAATTAAAGTAACATGGTTATCTTATCACTAAATTTATCAGCAGATAGATAAATTTAGTCTTACAGATAATTTACCAGTAATTGTTTATTAACTAGTAAAATTTATTTGCCAGTTTATCCAAATCATCCTGTAATCAAGTATATTGTGAAAATTATTTTAAATTTAATATCTTATAAAACTCATAGTAGTAAGAAATCAGTGTCTTATTGTAAGGAAAAAATTCTATAATAAACAAACTGTAAATTGCTTTATGGATTACTACCTAAAAGTTACTGTCAGTCAGTTTAGTTTGATTTTATTTTGTCAATTTTGTAATCTTATATAAATAAATTTTGTCCTAAAAATTTTTAAATATAATAATTTATTTATTTTGTAAATTTTAAAATCAATTTTTTTCATTCAAAATTTAATATGCTAACACACTACAAAGTTTTATCCTTTTTTTAAATTTTAAATGTATATGCCACTCAGCAATTTAAAAATAAATACTTGTTCTGTTTAAAAATATCTAGAGAAGAATTATTGTATGGTTCATCTGCACTGGTTAATTTATATACTAGTAGCCAAAAATATTGCAAGACATGAAAATTTGCCTTATTTGTAACTTGGCTTTGAGTTAGATGCTAGAATCATAGTATTATATGATTTTATTCTCATATCAAAAGGGCATTAATTGAACAGAAAATAAATTGTGTTACTTTATTAATATTCATGAAAGAACAGTTTTAAAATTATTGTATATTGTACTGTAACATTAAACAAATTTCATATTAGCAGGAATGTTACACAAGCCCATTTCGTAGATTTAAAATGAGTCCTTAATCAATTGGCTCACCTTTAATCTTAATAATTGCTGCAACTTAGTAAAGTTTGATGTTTGAACAGAAATTCTTAATATCTATTTATCACAAACTTATGCTGTTTAACAATGTTAATTTATTGCCTATTATTCCTACTTAATAAGAAACTAAGTTGAATGTCACAATTTTATTTTATTGTTAATTAATATTAAAGGAGTTTTAGAGAAACTTAACATTTCAGATATATTTTTTGCCATAATTTTTTTCATTGGACATGAATTTAATTTTTCTTATTGAGTAGCACCAAAGTTGACATTGACATTTATAAACTATAGAAATATTAATTAAATAGTTGAATTTGACACAGGGTTTTACTAATAATTTAAATTTTAATTTTGAATTATTTAAAGATTTCTCAATTATCATTGTTATTGATAGAAATAATTTAGGTTTTTAATATATTTTTTTTAATGTATGAAATTCAACAAAATATGGCATTTAAAACTAAAACAATTAGTCCAAATATATTTCACTTAACTTTGAAATCCCTTGTAAACAACCAATTTGCCTACATACTTTATCTATGCAAAATTCTGGCATGAAAAATGGTTGAAATAAAATATTAGCCAAATTATACCAGTATGTTTATTCAAATAATTAACTTTGTTATGAAAAAAATACTTTATTTTTTAAGGTTAAACATATTATTACTCTTAAGTTAAATTAATTAGCTGGAAAGTGAATGTCATATATTAAAATCTTCATATTTATTTATTTTTTGCTACTAAATACAAAAGTAATTTTTGCATTTAATACAAAAATGTCTTTTCATCATGCTAATGAATATTAGCAGAATGTATTCTTCCACTCTGCTAATGAATATTAGCAGAGTGGAAGAATACATTGTGCTAATGAATATTAGCAGAGTGGAAGAATACATTGATTTTATTTTTTCAAAATTAGTTAAATATATTCATAGTTGGTGTTGTATTTTATCTTAACAAAGTTCTGGATAGGATTTTTACATAAAAAATCAAATGTGCAAGCTGTTTTGTACATAAAAATAGTTTGAGGAGAGTTGATTTAGCATGGTTTTAGTATCTTATTTAATTACAGTTTGTCTTTTATGTTTAATAAAAGTTAATTTTATTGCATAAAAATCTAAAATTTACTAAATTTATCATTAATTTATTGATATTAATTTTTAAATTAAATATCATGAGAATAAATGTTTTAGACTTCAAGAGTTTGAAAATGTGAGTACAGGAATCTTCATTTAAAATATTTAAGATTATTTATCATTGTATTAAATTAAGAATATATTAAATATTTCAAATAAATGAGATAAAAAATTTCTTCATAAATATTGATAATCTATAATCAGAAATTTATAACTTCTTAAATTCAGCTATACATATAAAACTAATACACTCACATCCTTTTAAACAGCAAAACAGTATTTAATAACAAATGTTTTTGGTTTTATTAAAAGACTGTCTTCAGCTTAAGAATTCTATTAAATGTATTTTTTTTTCTTTCTTAATTGTTGAATATATAAGTCTAGAGAATGCTGAACATTTCAAATTGAACCAAAATAAAATACCATAAAAACTATATTGATAAAATATACAGTCATATTGAATTGCTAATTGTCTCTATAAATATCTAGTAATTTTGGCAATAAGAAATAAAATTTTAAATTATATTCAATGTATAGATATATAAACTTAAATTATTAATGCAGATATATTGTTTTTAGGGATGTATGTCAGGAGATTCATCTTTTGAATTAAGTTTTAGTGAAGAACCACTCACTAAATATCCAAAATTAAGCAGTGATTGGGAAGATAGTTTCCTTTTACGACATGCTGATGGTACAAATCCAATGGATTCTGAATTAACAGATTATGAAGGTATGAAAGCTGATGATAAAATGGAAGAATGTATGAAGCCAGTTCAGCAAGATAATTGTGAAATATCTGAAGACAATACTAATACAAATGATAAAGGTGTCATGGTAGGCATGACAGGAATTGCAGATTTAAAAGCAGAATGTGGAGGTAATATTGGGCGTTTTGAAATAATACAGGATGTAGGATATTCTAGTGAGAGTTCAGCTCATTTATCTAATGATGAAAAACAAGAATTTATTAGAGTTTACAGCTATAGTCCTGTATGTAGTGGTCCATCATTAATTTCAGAGTATGCAGTAACCAATTCAACACCTAAAACTCTTGACAATAAGCCATCTTCCTCAAATTCATCAAATTTATATCTTCCACCAGATAAATATCCTTCTATATCTCTTAAAGATTGGCAGTTTGTAACTGGAGAAGAACCATTTTATAAATTAAAAAATAAAACCGAATCTTTAACAACACCTTCTTCTACTTTTTATAAAATGACTTCAATTGATCCTGATGCTGTAGAAGAATCAGCAATAATTGAAAATGTATTTGAAGATAAACATACTTCAGATGAAAATTTTAAGCAAGATAATATTGAATTAATGGATGATAGTGTTAACAGTATTTCATTCTGTCCTGCTCCAAAAGAAGATTCAAAATTATCTACAAATGATCTCTCCACTTCAGTAACACAGGTACAATCATCGTCAGATGTTATTAAGATGAAACAATTACTTGCTTGGGCTGAAGTACCAAATAAGAATTCTTCTGTTCATTTAAGAAATATTGCTTCTGGTAAAAAATTAACAAAAAATGCACATATTCGAGAGTGGTTAGAAAATTGTCAAGAAGGTAAAATATATAGTAAAATTGAAAATAACATAGAAAATAAAGTGATGAATAACCATCTGTTGGTAGATAGTTCCTGTGATGCAAGTGGTGAATACACTACAAATGAATCAGATAGTGAGCAGTCAAGTAGTTCTGCAGATGTCAATAACAGTTTGATAATGAGTAGATCAAATACAGGTTCTGTAGAAACTGTAATACCAGTAGTAGAAGAAAGTTCTGGTAATGTGTGGTCTGGTTCTTCATCGGTCACTATGAGAAATAAACGTAAAAGTTTTAAAGATAGACCATGGAGTGTAACTGAAATTGGACATGTAACTAGTGGCTTAAGATTTTCTCCGCTTTCAACTTCAGAAGGTTCTCTCAATATTCTATGTTCTTCCCAGTTTAATAAGACTATAGATTCAAAGTAAGTAAGTTTATTTTTATTTAAGAAATTTTCATTTTATAAAAACTGTTATTTTTTAATTAGATATCGTAGTTCAAAATGGTCAATAGGAGCACAAAAGCATCTTTCTGATGATAAAAGTCGTTCATTGGGAAATAAACCAAGACGAAATCGAAGTCGGAGTAGTCTCCAAAATACTTCACATCGTTCAGATTCTGGTTCAGATAATCTTTCACCAAATACAACTTGTAGCACTTTATGTCAATCAAATTGTTCTGATCTTCAAATTTCAACACCAACACGCCGAAGAAAATCAAATTCAATCTTATCAGACAAATTTGCTATTCATTTATCACCAGTTCATCGTTCTCCAGCACGGCGTTTTTCGAATTCTCGTTCATCATCATCCAATAGTAGTGGAAAAAAACGAAACACCCAGTCTTCATCTGATAATTATCAAGTAAGATTTTTTCATTTATATTTTTAAATTTTATCTTTTATTATTAAGAAAAGAAAATTTTTTTTTCAAGAATACTAAAACTTGGCCAGTGTCTCATAGTGAGCCAGAAAATCTCTCAGCTGCACAGCTTCCTTCATCATCAGTTGCTGACAGTGATCAAGCGCTTACACAGACAGAAGATCAAAGTTCTGTTTCTGATCAAGTTTGGGATGGTTACCAGGTACAGTTTTAAAAAATAAAAGTTCCTTTACTTTCTATTATGTGATATAAAAAAAACTCTTTATACAGTGTATCAGAATCTAGATTTGTAAGACATTTTCATATCTGATCTATATTAAGGATGAATTTTCTCAATTTTAAATATTCCTTATACAGTGGGTGATCGGTTAACAAACAGTTCGGATAACGAACACTTTCGTGAAAGATTTTTATGATCAGACAACGGACACTTTACTGGACAAACATAAAAAGAAGCGATGGAAAATAACTAATACCGATTGATTTTTTTCCTTGTCTTCAGGTAACAATTTGAAAAAAATCTCCGCAGAAGACGTCGACATCGATGCTCAACCCGATACCGATCAGATAGTATCCCTCTGAATTTTGAAACTCTCCCTTGTAATTCCAACTTTTTGTTTACCTTTCTGACAAATAATTTTTTATAGTCTTCACGAGACTGTTGGATGGGCACTTGTTAAGTTTTGTATCAGGTTTATTTACGAAAGGTGAAAGTTTAACTGTCCCATCAGATATTTGTTAATGTTTTAATACCAAATTTTGAATTTCATCCGGGCCTTGCATTTAAATAATTTTTTGTGGGCTATTTGATTTCTGTTCTCTGAATTTTTGTAAGTGCTTTTCTGAACTTTTTATTTAAAAAAGAAACACTATAATATTATGGAACCTAAAAAGAGGAGTGTCAAAGACTGTGATCACCATAGAAACCAAGTAAGAGATAATAGCCAAGGAAGAAAGTGGGTGCAAGATGTCTGATGTTGCTAGGCAGTATGGCTTGAACAGGTCTACAGTAGGGACAATCTTAGCTATGAAAGATATATCAAGAAGTCTCAAGCTACTAATGGAGTAATGAAAATCACATCTGAGAAATAAAGAGCATTTTAGGACTCATAATAAAACCTGAAACTGATCTGACAAAAGAACTCCAAGAACTCTCAAATGAAGAATACCAAGAAATTCAGCAAGATGTGTTTTATTTTGAAAAAGAGGAAGATGGAGGTCCAATGTCGACATCTGCTACTAAAGGTCTTTTGAAGTGGGAGGATGTAAGAACAACGATCATCCAAGTGGCATTCAAACCAGAATAGTGTTAATGAAGTTGGGGATCTCTACAATTACAATACTATTAATTACTTCTGAAAAATCGTGAAGAAAAAAGAAAAGCAATCGACATATTTTTACTATTACATATAAATAAACATAGTAAAAAAGTATATATATTCTATTTTTTGGAGTCTCCGGAATGAATTAATCAAATTCCCATAATAACCTATGGTAAATCAATAATCGGTTAACAAACAATTCAGATAGCGAACAAAGTCTTGGAACGGATTATGTTTGTTATCTGATCACCCACTGTATTTATAAGAATATCCAGCTTAATAGGACCAATAAAACAGGATTAGTGCTATCTGAAGTAATGAGAATATCTAACCAAGAAATTCATAATAAATTTAAGTATAACAACAAATGCTTTGTCAGAACTTTAAAAAATTGTTGGAATTTTTTTTTATAAGGGTTAACTTGGTAGATTAATAGTTTTATTATTGTAATTTGTGTTTATGAAAATTTTTGGAATTCTTTAGCAGTCTGAAGTTGTTCATCACAACAGCCATCTTGGTTTTTATTTATCCTTTTAGATGCTAGTTTTTGTCACAGTTTTATTAATTTATATCAATTAAGGTTTAATTAACTTTTTTTTTATAGCTCTGTGTGTGTACAGTTAATGACAAGAAATAAATCATTGTCTCACATTGATCAGCATGAGGATGATGTCAGGTCAAATTTGATGTATTGCATAACCAACTCTGTTATCTACAGATACTCAAAATTTGGACATTACTGTTTAAATTTTGGATGTCTGAAGATGACAAATTGATTACTTGATTACTGTTGAAAGTTCTTACATATTTTTGTGAATTTTTCTTTTTTTCTAAAGTATATTGACTAAACACCTGAAGTGCAATTAGTTTTTCATTTTAATAAATTTCTTGAACCAATTTGCATTAATTGAACAAAAATTTAAATCAGCAAATATATACTAGTACTGAGGATCAAGAAAGTAAGTATGAAATTAATCACTAAAGGTGGGATGTCAAAAGATTGTTGTTTGTTGACTGTCTTATCATCATTCAAACACTATTTATTTTCTTATACTGATAACTTAAATGAATACATTTGACAAAACTGTACTTAAGGAAAACAAATAAATAAATGTATAAAACAGATTTTTTAAGACTTTTAATGCCTGGAGTCTTTCTGTATATGCATTTGATAATTAATTTGTCATTTTTCTATGGTTCTTTGAAAATAAAATTATCTGAAAACAGAAACTAATCTTATGGTAATATTACACTATATACTTCATATCTATATAGTATAACTTTCTTTGAAAACAAAATTGTATAAATAAAAATACTTGTTAAGTTAAATTATTAGTTAACATCAATCCTTACAGGTAGTCCACATACTGTATATTGATGCAACAAGAACTACTGTATTAATAATTATTAAATGATTTAGAAGATTCTGGAAGAATGTTTCAGAGTGGGACAAAACCTGTAACTTTTGTTTAACATGCAGATGCATTACCAGTTATATTTCCTGATTTTTATCTGATCTTTGCTTTTATTATATGATTCAAATTAATATTGTTCTGAAAATGAAGATTAGGTGGAGATTCAGATAATGTAACTGATAATGCATCTGCATGGTGAGCAAAAGTTGTAATTTAGTTTCATTTTGGAGTATTTTTCTTCCAGAATATTTTAAATTATTTAATTCAAAATTAACTTATAATTATTAATATTTAGGTGGTTAGCCCACTATCTTGTGCTATCTTAAAGGCCAAATTATGGAGTATAATTAATTATTAGACTATAGTTAAAATCAATGTGAATTTTTGAGAAGTGATTCGGGGTATTTTTTAATCTAATATTCTGAATATTAATAGTCAACAGTGATTAACTCATTTGTTGTTTTTGTAGAAAAATGAATGTGTCTATTTTTATCAATTATTACTACTGATCAATAAATAAGAGTATACTTTATACAAATTCAATATATCAAAGAAATTGATGCTTTCATAATGCATTTTCATTATTTGCTTGAAGTTTGAATTAAATTTTCCAAAAAAAAATTCAGTAACAAAGTTAGAGAATAATTTGTTTTCTACTATTGAATAACAAACAAATAATTTTTGAGACTAATAGTTTATCTCATAGATTAAGAAAATTATCAGATATTTTTTTGGGCTGCAGTTTTCAAATTGCAGACCTATAGATTCTTGTCGTTGTTCAGTTGGCCATCCATTTGTTATTTGTTAATCTTGAACAGAGTTAGATGCATGAAAATCAAGACCATATATGGAAAGCTGAGGGGCCAGATGCCCCAATTAACTATAACTATATATGAACTTCTGGTTGGGNTATATATTTATTAATAATCATTTCAAAATAGCAATAGAGACTTAAATATTTTAACATGATATGAAATATATTGTGTTAGATAAGTTTCTTGACCTGCTTGCACCTGGAGTGCATTTTTGCCTTAGGCTGTTGAGTCAATTTAATGATCACATTAGTGAGGTAAATTTGTAAGAGTTCAGATGTTGCCTATCCCTTGAGGGTTTGGAACAAAGCCAGTCATGAAAAGCCAATTTCTCCTTTTGAGCATAATGTAATATATAGTCATGATGGATAGTATCAAAATTTCAGCTTAAAATGTTAATTGAGTAGAAGTCAAATTATCTATTTAAAAAATGATTATGTAACATTTATTGACATAGTTAAGTTGTATGTAAATAAAAAAAAAGTAGGAAATGTTTTTAATAGTCATGATTGGTCATGTTTGTTTAAAAATAAATATGACTGTTCAAATGATATTTCTGTAGATAAATATCTTTATTGCATTTTGTTGAAATTTTATAAATTATCATTATTATGCCTGTTGCATATATCACTTTCAATTATATCATTAAAATTTAAAAAATGCACACACAAATACATATCTATATTATTTATTTTTGAAACTAAAAGAAAATTATGATTTTGGCATATTTTGGTAAGCGTATCCTAAATAATACATTATTTATATAGTTTGTCTAGAAAAATGAAATTCCTTTTATATAAATGTTATTTGTATATACAAAAATTTTAAGTTCCTGAAACTTATTTTTTAAAATAGTTTTTATCCTTTTTTTTTAAATTCATATAATTCCTCATGTAGAAATGATACCAGTTATGCTCCATTCCATTCTTATTATGCCTTTAGCTATACAAAGAATAAATTATCTCATCAAGAAATAAGATTTTTCACTGTAAATGATAGAAATCAGTGGAATTTTTTTAAATATCAGATATGAGTATTATACTAGTATTTAACATTTAAATCATTTATATAAATCAAAATAGCAATTACTGTGAATGTGAATGTAAAAATATTGATCTATTTGTTTTCTACATAATAGATTGATTTATAATTTTAAGCATTTTCATTATTTTTGAAAGCTTTTAAAATTTTAAAATACTTAATGAGAAAAATAGCTTAATTCATGTAATTTTATAAACACTGTTTCATTAAAGTTTAGTTTCTTAATTCTTTTAAAACATGATTGTTTATCTCCAATATTTTACTTGAAACTCTTTTATCTTTTATCTTAAAGTTTTAATTAAAGTAACATGGTTATCTTATCACTAAATTTATCAGCAGATAGATAAATTTAGTCTTACAGATAATTTACCAGTAATTGTTTATTAACTAGTAAAATTTATTTGCCAGTTTATCCAAATCATCCTGTAATCAAGTATATTGTGAAAATTATTTTAAATTTAATATCTTATAAAACTCATAGTAGTAAGAAATCAGTGTCTTATTGTAAGGAAAAAATTCTATAATAAACAAACTGTAAATTGCTTTATGGATTACTACCTAAAAGTTACTGTCAGTCAGTTTAGTTTGATTTTATTTTGTCAATTTTGTAAT